AACAACATGTCAGTATAATGGAGAACCAATCAAAATCATTCTCATTTCTGAAAAAACATAAGGAAATAAAACTTATGAACTCCTGTTATAATGACATTCTCATCATACTGATGTTTTTTGTTTGTACGGAGAGTGTTGTTTTTTTTTAAAAATCCCATTCTAGATGGAGCTATGAGCTTTTAAAAATTATCATTATTCTATGTTTGACCTCAATTTGTCAACCATAAATCTTGCCAAAATTGCTAAATTTGGCTGGAATTAACTTTAATTCCATGTTACACACATCACGTGATTGTGTATCAATTCAATTAACGCGTTTTTTTTTGTTCAAAAATCTAACTCTTTTTTGAAATTTATCAATTAATCATGCCTAAGTTTACAAAGCAAAAAGCACATTTAAATAGACTTGCTTTAGACAAAGAAAAATAATAGCTCATCTGGTAATGAAAATCAATTAGAAACTAATTTAGAACAATTTTCACATTAAGAATTTGAGGAAAGTTGGTTTGAAGAAGGAATAGATAGAGAATTAGATGAAAATTCTGTAAAATATATTGATATCCTCAATGAATCCATTAGTGTTCCATGTTGCAATCCAAAAAAGGAAACAAAATGGTTGTAAAGGTGGTTGCAACCAGTAGTTGCAATCATTTTTATATGACGCAAAGATGGTAGCAACCATCATCAAAAGTTGCAGCCGGTATCCTTAGAATCCATGAAAAATTACACTTCATCATCAAGACCTTTGTGCTATATAGGTAACTCTTCCAGAACTTATTGCTGGAAACAAAGTGAGGCTAAGAAAAATGCTGAAAAAAATGGTCAATTAATAACTGCATTTTTTGAAAAAAGTGAAGCAGATGTTAGTAGTGGAAATGAAAGTTCTGAGGAACTCATTGAAAATAATGATAAAGAAATGACAGAAGTTGCAATTAGTGACTTAGAGAAGCAGCTTAAAAATAATGATTTTAGTAATGGATATAAATTACGACTTACAGCTGTGCTTCAATATTTAAAATTAATTAAATTAGGTAAAAAAAAGTTAGAATCAAGCATATCTATTGCAAATCAATTAGATAGAGGTAAATACTTTGCTTGCTGTATTCAAGAATGGGCACAAATTGTCAAAGAAGGAGATCCTATTCCATTTTCAAATTGTGGTTTGCATAGAAAACATCAAGTTTACTAGATGATGAAGACATTAAATTAAGAATAACAGAATTTTTACATGAAAAAAAAAATTTTAAATTTAATATTAATAATTTTATTAATCATCTTTCATCTGTTATTTTTTCATGTGTTGGGGTCAAAAAAGAAACAAACATAAGGTGAGTTCTCATTAAATATATATAAATTAATTTGAACTGCAGTTAATATTTATTTATTCAATATTTCATTAATTAGCTGTGAAACTGCATGCCAATTGCTGCATAAAATGAGATTTTACTTCAAAACTTATAGCAAAGATGTCTATTATGATGAACATGAGTGTGAAGATGTCATTGAATATTGCAAAAAGTTCTTAGAAACAATGCAGTCAGTGAGATTTCCAAATATGGAAATCGATTCTTAATATGATATAATAGATTTGTTAAATCTGGACTTTCAAATGAAAATTTACGTGCATATGTTCCAATGATTGAAATGGAAACTAAAAATTATTTTATCAGATGGAATAAAAAAACTGGAATTGAAGATATTCATAAAGCAACATCTGAACTAATCATTATGACAGCTTCTAAATGTTTATTAGGAGAAGAAGTTCGATCAAAACTTGATGAAACATGTAAATATATTTTATTATTTTTATCATTAAAAATATTCTACAAATATTTTTATCATTCAATTCACTGATTAATTTCTTAGTTGCACAAATATTCCATGATCTTGATGGTGGCTTTAGACCAATAAATTTTCTTTTTGAGAATTTACCAACAAAAGCCAACAAATTACGTGATCAAGCACACATTAAAATGCGTAGTTTCTTTTTGGATATAATGAAATCACGTCGTGAAAGAGGTGTCACTGATGGCACAGACATTATGCAATATTTGACAAAAGATTGTGTTTATAAAGATGGAAAAAAATTATCAGATGAAGAAGCAGCACATATTATGATTGCAATGTTAATGGCAGGTCAACATACAAGCTCTACAACAAGTGCATGGGCTTTTCTTTACCTTGCCCAGAGTCCAGGATTATTTGAGAAATTAAGACAAGAACAAATCAGAGTGTTGGGATCACTTAATGCTCCATTAACTTTTGAGGCATTGAAGGAGATGACACTGCATGACAATGTTGTTAGGGAGACATTGCGTTTACGACCACCTATTCTTACGATTATTCGTAAAGTTATTAGAGATATGAAAATTCCAGGTACAAATTATGTCATACCAAAAGATTACTACATCCAGGCTATTCCAGTGGTTTCAGCATGTTCAGATGAATTTTTTGAAAATGCACAGACATTCAATCCTGGTAGATGGGAGGAGTTTGATAAGAGCAACTTAGTTAAGGAAAGGAATGATGATCTTGTGGATTATGGATTTGGTGTTTTGCATTCTGCTAGTGCCAAATCACCATTTATTCCATTTGGTGCAGGTAAACTATGGTTATTATTAATTAAATTTACTATAATAAATAGATTTTAGTAATAATACATTTATTATTTTCACAGGACGTCATAGATGCATTGGAGAAACATTTGCATATTTACAAATTAAAACAATTATAGCAATATTTGTTAGAACATTTGATTTATGTTTGATAAATAAAAAATTTCCAGACATTGATTATACTACCATGATAGCTCAACCCAAAAATCCAATTATAGAATATACTAGAATATTAGAATAATAGGTTTATATTTATTTTTGTATATGTGCGTGAATTATATACATATGTATGTATGTATCTATGTATTTTCATTTAAAAATTAATTACAGTTTGTTTATTAGCAATAAATAGTAATATTAATGATAGGTAATTTCTAAGCTTCCAAAGATTTCTTTGGATAGAAGATACAAAACACATGTATATTAATATATTGGTTGAGCAATTTGATTACGCAAAGTGTTTTTGGTCAATCAACATTGAAATTTTATTAATAAAATCAGGATTTCTATATATTATAAAAAACATGGCCCATCAGGAGCATATACTAAAGCTGCAAAGTTGTCACAACCAATAACTCATTTTTTTTCTATTGAATCTAAAGGTGAAAGCAGTGGCACAAGAAATGAAATGAAAGATGAAGATAACATGAACATATTTTTAAAATAGTTATTTTCTGTATAAGAAAAAAATACCTTTGTTGATATAGATATTAATGAATTAGATGAAGAAAATACAGTGAGTGAATTGAATAATTCAGAAGGAGAGAATGACTCAGAACATGAAGGAAGTGATTTTGAAGTTGAAAATGCTAATTCACTTGAACCTAAATTAACTGATCTTAAAAATATACAATGGGTATAAATTAAAGACCAGTGCCATAAATTATGATGATGGTAGTAATTGTATTTACAGCATATAAAAAGTGGTCACAATTACCTTTGTGACCACTTTTGCAACCATACTTTTTCCTTTTTTGGATTACAGCACTAGTCTTTAATATAAATTATGACTTACAGCTGTGCTTCAATATTTAAAATTAATTAAATTAGGTAAAAAAAAGTTAGAATCAAGCATATCTATTGCAAATCAATTAGATAGAGGTAAATACTTTGCTTGCTGTATTCAAGAATGGGCACAAATTGTCAAAGAAGGAGATCCTATTCCATTTTCAAATTGTGGTTTGCATAGAAAACATCAAGTTTACTAGATGATGAAGACATTAAATTAAGAATAACAGAATTTTTACATGAAAAAAAAAATTTTAAATTTAATATTAATAATTTTATTAATCATCTTTCATCTGTTATTTTTTCATGTGTTGGGGTCAAAAAAGAAACAAACATAAGGTGAGTTCTCATTAAATATATATAAATTAATTTGAACTGCAGTTAATATTTATTTATTCAATATTTCATTAATTAGCTGTGAAACTGCATGCCAATTGCTGCATAAAATGAGATTTTACTTCAAAACTTATAGCAAAGATGTCTATTATGATGAACATGAGTGTGAAGATGTCATTGAATATTGCAAAAAGTTCTTAGAAACAATGCAGTCAGTGAGATTTCCAAATATGGAAATCGATTCTAGAGCCTTTTGCCGATCATCTCATATATGATACAAACAAGTTTAGAAAACACTTCCCTTTTATATTAGGTTACATTTTTTCCCTATAAGAACCCTAAAAATAAATATTGAAATACATTCTTCTGAATATATACTTTAATAATCCACTCTCATCCCCAAAGCATTATATAACAGCATAAAGAATTGTATAGACTCAAAACTTACTTGAAATTAACGTGAAAATTCAAAATTTTTTTAAATCTATAGATTTTAATCTCTAAAAATGCAAAACACCAGACTTGCCAATGTTTATTTGATGGTCTTTCTATTAAATATCCAGAAAGCCAACTGGCAACATGTAAAGTTGGGATTCAAAAGTATAGGCATGTATCAGGATTAGCAGCAAGGGAACATATAAAATTATTTATTAAATATTTTCCTAAATTATCTTTATTATGTGATTCTTTAGAAAATTGTTCAATTTGTGAAAAACATTACAATCAAATAATTGTTACTGATAATTTTCTTGAGAAATTAAAAAAAGCAGATGATTCTTCTGAAGAAACTTAAATTCATCTTCTGAGGAAGAGCTTCACAAGTTCAGCAATCAAGCTACTTTACCTAATGCTGAGATCACAAGGCTTACAATAGAGTTATCGAAAACACATGAGAAGTTATTGAAAACACAAGATGAATTAAAAAAATAAGAATCACAGAGGTTATATTATGTTGGAAATATCAAGGAAAATGAACAAATAATCAACAGACTAGAAGAAGAGAATAATAAATTAAAAGTAGAAATGAAAACTTAAAAAAGGAATTAATTACATCATTTGATGATCAGGAATCAAGAATTAATTTTATTACAATAATTGCCCAGAAGGAATGTAAAGATTTATATAATGATATCATTAATTTAATTAATGATCAGGATCAATTTAGTTTAGATAACCTTTTAAAATATTCTACTTCTAAATGGCTTGCTAAACAAATCCAGTAGTAATTCAGGCAGATAACAAAGGACTGCTGAGAAAACGTTACCGGACGGGAAGTAATAAAACTTGCCCTACAACAAATTAATAGCTTGAGTGCTATTACTGCCATAAAATAAGAAAACGTGATTATAAATTAAATATTTGGATACTGCCACACAAACAAAATAAAATACTATTCTAACCAAATCTAGAGATTTGTGTGAGGCGCGGATTTTGACCTCACACTACTTTAAAAATAGTTGATCTTAGTGATCCTATTTTTAATATAGATCAAAACAATGATAATATAAATGAAAACCAGGAAGTAAGCAGGAATGAATCAACAGAATGTGATGTTGAAGAATTAGTTAGCCAATTTTTAACTGACTGATAATATGTAATTGTTGTAAAAAAATAATTTCCGTGTATTTGGGCTTTTTAAAATAATTTATTTCAATTTCGATTTTTTGAATTTCTATTTTGATTTTGAATTTTGGTTTCAATTTCAAATTTAGATTTTGATTTCGCCAAGGGTATTTTGATTTTGAAAACTTGTGTGATTTTTTCCATCATGTATGAAAATACTTTACCTCAAATCTGTTGAGAATAAATTTGGCACATTGTTAACATAATTGCAAAAAATGGATCAATTAAGGTATTGGTATTGTGATTAATAGAAAGCAAAAAGTGAAATTATTTTCGCCTTTTGATTTGATTTCAAGCTTCTCAAAAGTTCTGTTAAAAATAGATTTTGTTTCCTATAAATGACGAAAAATGTAGATCACGTTCGTACAAAAAATCGCGTAGGTATGATCGGCATCATCATAACACCAACTCAAATAAAATGTTTAATCCAAGAATTTCAATTGACAAGAATTCCCTCAAACCATCATCACCTCATCAACTTTATCAAAGAGCAATGACTGCCTTTCAAGGAGAACAATACTTAACAGCATCATTTTTACTTACAGAAGTATGTTACATGTACATATTATATTCTAGTCAATAAATAAAATAAATCTAAAAATTATTATTCATTTCAATAGGCAATTGATTTGAATCCAAATAATATTCAATTTTATGATTGTCGAGCAGCTACATATGAAAAATTAGAAAAATTAAGTGATGCATTAAATGATGCAAAGACAATGATTAAGTTATCACCAAATTCGGCAATGGTGATTATATGAATTATCTTAATTATTAATCATCTCTTTTATTGAAATTAATCATCATCGTCTTTATTGTTATTAGGGCTATCTTCGTGCAGGGAATCTTTATAAAACTTTGAATCAAAAGGAAGCTGCAAAAGAAAATTATTTACTAGGCATAAGTAAAGTTGATCAAGATGATCCTTCTTATCAGGTAATATCATATGTATACATTAAAAAGGTCCATAAAATGTAAAATTTTAATTGTTATGAAATGATTATTTTAATTATTGTTTTGTAGAAATTATGTGAATTTTCCAATGAATATCTAAACTTGGCAGTAAAGGTATAAATAATTAATTTCATTATTAAATAATATTAATATATTTTATCCTATTTTAAAATATATTTATTTTGATAACATAGCGTACCACCTATGACATAACAATAATTCTACCACATGAAATCAATCTCGAAATTTTTGGCTCTTTTACATTTGCTAATATCTGTAGACTGACAGCAGTTTCAAAAAGATGGCGGGAATATATCATATCAATGAAAAGATTATGGCAAGATTTGGATTTTCGTGTGAATAGCAATTTCAAAATAACTGACAAACTTGTTAAAATGTATGTGCAACGTGTACAACGTGAAAAAATAACAATTAGAAGGATATTTTTTGGAGAATCACCAAAATTAACTGATTGTTCATTAAAAGTACTCAGGAAAACAATGTGTCATCAACTGACAAGTTTAGAATTGATGTCAAATACATTAATAAGCGATACAGAAATTTGTTTATTTATACATACTACTGGTCTTAATCTAAAGCATCTAAATTTGTCAGATACAAATATTGGCAATAGAACAGTTCGAAAAATATTGACAACATGTTCAAAATTAGAAACATTGGATCTATCAAGTTGTAATGGTGTCACCACCGAGGCATTTGATCCTAATGATTTACAATGTAAAGCTACTGGAATTGCTTCAATTAATTTATCTGGATGTGAAACGGTAGAATATTCAGTAATCAATTATTTGGTTGGATTATTCCCAAAGATCATCCAACTTGATCTCAAATGTAATTCAGTAATCACACCAGAAGTATTTTCAAAATTAACTAATTATCCTGAATTGAAAAGAGTTGCTTTATTTGAACACATAAATAATTCTGCGGCAAGTTTTGGAAAAGAATTTAATAGTTTTACAACAACTTGTGTAAACTTGCATGAGTTTACTTTGATCAATTGTTCAGAAATATCCGATTATTGCATTGAATGTTTAGTTAAGTCATGCAAAAACTTGGAAATATTGGATCTTAGTGATTGCAAGCGATTGACAAACCAAGCATTGAATGTGATATCAATTTATAGTGAGAATCTAAAAATTTTGAGATTTGGTTGTTCGATAGGGATTGATGATGATGGTGTAACATTCTTGTGTAAATCAAGATTATCCAAGAAATTAGAAGAAATTGATTTTCATGGAAATTCAAATATAACAGATAAATCTTTGAGAATCATGGGAAATTTTTTTGTCAATTTGAGATTGGTAAATCTCAAATCATGTTGCAATATAACAGGAAGTGGTGTAGGTTTTTTTGTACAAAAATGCCAAAGATCTTTAAAAGAACTTGTATTAAATGGATGTAACAATGTTCCACCAGATGCTATTGATCTTTCAAGAAAATTATTAAGTTTAAACGGGGGAAAAGTTTTTTACGAATTTCGTGAACGATAAACAAGGAATGATTATTTGGTTTATTAATTATTTAATGACCATACTTTAGATTAATTTCTCGGCTATTATTGAAATTTTTTAATAAATAACATGTGCTGATAATTATGTAAATTATATAAATAATTAGAAAGAATCTTCTTGTTGATAAAGATTTAAATGGGTCTTATTGAAAAAAACAATAATTCTCTGCTATTAAATATAAATATGATGATGAATGATATTTCTATATATTATCTACATTGATTTTAAATAAATAAATAAACATATAAATATATAAATTTTAAACTATAATATTAAATGTTTAAATAAAATAAAATAATTCATGGTGTAGAGCATAAATTTAATAGTAAATAATTAATGTGCTTTATGACTTTATTTTGTAGTGATGATAATAAAAAAATGTATGACTATTGGATAAAATTAACTTAATTGATCACCAATTAACATAAAAAACCAGATTACCTAGTTTGGATATTAGAAATAGCTTGTCTATAATTATAATATAAAACAACTTTCTTCCTTAAATTATTGAAAACACTTCTCATATTTAAAAATAATACTGCATCTATCAAAGTAAACGAAATACTGTGCAAAAGCTATGGAGTTAATGAAAAAAAAGGCCAAAGATTAATTAAAAGTAAACTAAGCAATGTAAAAATTTTGATGTAAAATTTTGTAAAAACAATACCATTATATGTAAATAATGGCCAAGAGTGGCAGTAAGTATCAGTGTATCTGTAAAAAATTCTATGTAATATAAAACCAACCCTTTAGACTCCCATGCATCTTGTTGAGAAAGATCTCTAAGATGAATTATATATTTCATTGATGTTTAACAGTGTCTAAGAAAAGGGTAAAGCACTATAATAAACCATAATTGATAGTCAGGAAAAATAATTTATTTTGTGAATTCCAGGGATCTGGGTAGAGACACATTATTAAAAGTTTCATTTATGCATGCCCTTGGTGTTATTATTACCTGGGTGATGCAATTGCTTGTTATGTCAATTATAACATCAAACATATTGAATAATAATCATGAATATTTGATGGATGGAGGCATTCACATGCAAGGAAATGGTTAAATAGCTAAGTCATGTTTGTTTTATTAAAGACATATAATTAATTATATTTAAAATATACAATAAAAAAATTGCAAGACTGCACCACTATGTCAATCAAGCCATCAAGCTTAAAATTCTTTTGTGCTCCCATCTTTCTTTGCTTATATATAATCTATTGGTTCTCTTTTACTGGTCAAATGATGCCAAATTGGGTAACGAGGTATCAATAAATATCAGTATCAGATATCTGACAAATATTCTTTAAAGAATAATCAAGGTATTGGCATTACTGATAAGTTAATAATATTCTTAGTATTTTTATCATATAGCCTAAAAGCCTATTCGTAAATATTGAAAGTGCCAATATTTATCAGATATTCTTCTAAAATTAATCCTATTTTTTAGTTAATTATCGGCTTAATTTAATAAACCAATAGCTCTTTTATATTGTAATTAAGTTATTGTTTAAATATTTCTAAAGCTCTTTGTACTAAAATAATATCATAATCTTGAGTAGTAGTTAGGGTTTCTATTCGAATAAGTTTTACTCGAATAAGTTTTACTCGAATAAGTTTTACTCGAATAATTGAACAAAATGAACAAAACAAAATGAACAAAACGAACAAAACGAACAAAACAAATAATGGTAATTGAATAAAAGTGAATAAAGCATGCATTAATTAATATTAAAATCAAAAAACAACAATAAACAAACAAACAATAGCTTTTATTGCAAATAATTAATTTTGTTCCTTTGGTGTTAATGATTGAATTGATCATACAAGTAGTAGTCAAAATATTATTATTAAAAGTATAAAGTTTAATGATTTTTAATGTTACAAAATATTTTTCATACATCAATATTTTATATACTTCAAAGTTATTTGTTTTAGTAGATTCATCGACATCATCATTATCTAATGATATTATTTATAGTAATCGTGGTATTATCATCAAATTTCTTCCTTCTTTAAAAGAATATTTTAATAATAAAACTTTTAGTGACGTCGCTTTCAAATTTCAATAATGGTGAATCAGAAATATAAATGCTCCAAGATGCAATTATTTCAAAGCATTGTTTAATGGTATATGGACAGAACCAGAAGCCAGCGTTATTCTTATCGATGTTTTTGTTCATTAATTTGCTATACCATACCATTCAGTATACTAAAGTATTTTGTATTTAGAGAAACTCCAGAACGGGCGAATAAAAATCACGACATAAGATATTACTGCTGGTTGGTCAACAACAATATTTCTTGGAAAATGTTGCGCTCAATCATGTTTGTGATAATTAAGAAAATATAGAAAGTAGTGGTGGCATGTGGTAATATTGAATTATTTGAGGAAATTATGTCCGAATTATACATATTTTAATAATAAAACAATTGCTAAATGTTAATATACCTCAAAGATTTATTATTCTATCATTATAATTACTAACACTTGGAATGGCCAATGTAAATATAAGTTTCTCGAACTTTGTAACCAATTAACATTATGACTCAACAATACTTCGCGCTTTGTACTTTGGAACGGATGCATAAACAATTTATTAATGATCTGTTTTAAACATCCCTATAAAAAAATCTTGCACTGTATTAGTATGTTTTCAGCTTTACCATACTAATACAGAGAATGTACCGATTGACTGAATCTTTCGCCTTTTCGTAAGGTGGCCTAATACTAATTAAAATTAAATAAGGTCACTCACAGTAATTTTTTTCCAATCGTTAAAATCAATAACCAAGCATGCTAGAACAAAAAACTCGCTGCAGTTTTATTTGTGCTATAATAGCGCAAAGAGATTTTTGTTAAAGTTACAAAGGTTTAAAGTTCTGCGATTTTACATCATTTCTCCACAATTGTCTTCCTGATAATTCTATTTTTGTAAGCCTTAACCATGATCCATAGAAGTATAATTACGACGTTTTACAAAGTAAACCGATCACTGAAGCTTCAAACTTTGTCCATGAAATTAACTTGCTAATTCATTTTCATCATCCTGATTAGCTGTAAATCATGTGAAAATGTTTTTGAAAGTGCAGCAGTCAAACCCTCGTTTCAATGGATTTTCGTTTCAACGAATTTTGTATTTAAATCTTGTTACAACGAACAACGATTTTTTGGTAGGATTTAATCGCGTTAACGAATTCATGTGATATAAATTTAAAAATCCAAATCCCCCAAAAAATAAAAAAAAGATGAATGCAAATAACAATAATAAAATTGTTTAATTAATATTTTATCCATACTTCCAAATAATAATAATAAAAATGAAAGCAAACAACAATAATAAAATTTTTAATTTTATCCAAATTTCCAAATAATAATAAAAAATAAATGCAAACAACATTAATAAAAATAAATTATTTAATTAAAAATAAAAATCTGATGAAATTTTCTTTATCAAATTCTTACAATCCTACAATTAAATTCTCATAATTAAAACCTTTGAAAATTTCTCGACAATAACAATCATCATCATCACTATCATAATCCATTAAAAAACGTGTATATATCACGCTAAACAAAAACGCGAATTATGTTTTATTAAAACAAAATAAAATGTCGATCATTACAACGCGATTTCCACATATAGAAATTCATCTTTAACTTCAATATATTGTATAACGAAGGAAATATTTATCAATTATCAATTTAAATATTTACCAATTAATTTAATAAATCAAGTTAAATAATAATTATCAATTAATCAATTTTAACTATTACATAGTAATAGTATATACTATTATAATTTTTAATGATCTGCAATACAAAGAATAAGATGCAGATCAATTTTTAATATAAAAAATCAAATCTTATCTCCAAATAAACCTCTATTCGAAATTGATTACAAGTATTCGTAATAATAATAATAATAATAATAATAATAACATACTAACAAAATGATGGTTTTGATTTTTGATTTTTTGTTTACAAAAAAATTTTATTAGTCTTGATGTTTTGATCTTTAAAAAATATATAAATGAAGAATAAAAAAATTTTTCATAAAAATTAAAAAATTTTAAAAAATCAACAACTGTCAAGTGAAAGAGCAAACTGGACTTTTATTTGATACTATTTTCATAACTATAAGAAAAATATTGGTGAACTAGATAGAACTTTGAATTTTTTGTATATTTGTTTCGTTATTACAAATAAAAAAATTTTTTTAGTAACTATTTAAAGGATATTTATTAATGTAAAGCGGAATAATAATAGCAGCAACAAAATGTATAGAAGAATAATGGCTCCCGAAATTTTGATACATAATTAAATGAATTCCATTATTAATTTTTTGTATAAAAAAAATTGTGTTACAAATCAGTATATGTGGCCAATCTTAGATTAAGACAGATTAAGAAAAATTTTTTCATTAAACATGAATAATATTAAAATTTTAAGGAATATTAATTCTTCGCCACGATCGCCACGGTCGCCATTGCCACCTGTTACTGCTCCCCCATCAGCAGCCAGCAAAGCTGAAATAACCATTTCGACCTTAGTTTTAAAAGACGAAACAATTTATCAAGGATTTTCTTTTGGCTCAGAGAGCAGATCAGTTGCTGGCGAGTGCGTTTTTCAGACTGGTGAGTTTACAAAAAAGGAATTTGAAAAAAATGGCTTCTTTTTTTTCTTTAAAATAGATTTTTTTGAATATGGATAGTAGATTTATTACAAATGTGTGGATCACATTTTTATTGATACATTGATAAAAACCAAATTCGAAAAGTTTAAATGATCAAATCAGGGAAAAAATATTATGATCGCTCTATTTGATCTTACTACATGTTATATTATAATAGATTATCTTAGTTACCATTGAACTCCAATATATTGCATAGGAATGGTTGGATATCCTGAATCATTAACTGATCCATCTTATCGTGGACAAATTTTGATTTTGACATTTCCTCTTATTGGAAACTATGGAGTGCCTTCCTTTGAGGAAATGGACCAGCTCCTCAAAGATGTTCCAAAATATTTTGAATCATGTGAAATACATGTAGCAGCTTTGATTGTTGGTCAATATTCTGAAAAATATTCCCATTATTTGGCAAATTCTTCATTATCTGAATGGCTGAAAGACCAAGATATTCCTGCAATTTATGGAATCGATACTCGAGCTCTCACCAAAAAAATCAGAACTCAAGGTGTAATGCTGGGAAAGATTTTATTTCCAAAAAATGTAGTTGGTAATGCTGCATTGGGAATATCAGTTGATGGCATTCAATCTAACGGATGTTTGTCTGTTGATCAAACATTATCTACTGAACCATGGATGACTGATTATCAAGATATTCACTGGACTGATCCGAATGAAAGGAATCTTGTAGCAGAAGGTTATTCTTCATTCAAACACATCAAATAACTAGTTCTTAAACATATATATCTAATAATATTGTTAAATCTAAAAAATCATTTTTTAAAAGTTTCTGTTAGAGAACCAAAAACATATTTACCCGATCCATCAAAGGCTATCAAAGGTGCTAATTCCAAAACTTTACGTATCATTGCTATAGATCTTGGAATGGTAAGCTAGGAAAATAATTTCATTAAAATATTTATTTATAGGTATGGTTATCTATCAGTCAATTTATCTAACTTTTTAATTAATCCAAAATAATGAAGAAATATAATCAAATAAGGTGTTTAATAAATCGTGGTGTTGAGGTTAAGGTGGTACCTTGGAATCATGACTTTCTACAAGAAAAAGACTATGATGGACT